ATACATACATACATGCACAGGTACTTCAGAACTTTATGTATGGAACCTGAATAAGTAGTAGCAGCTGTAGTAAATCTGATAACTTGAGTGTTTTTTTTTCAGGATTTTAGTTTAATTAAAAAAAAAGGTGCTTTGTAGATTTGTGTGGCAGTTTTAACCTTTTCTCCTACCTGCAGGTTTCATGGCCCCAGAGCTGCTGAAAGGGGAGGAGTATGACTACTCTGTAGATTATTTCGCTCTGGGGGTCACCCTGTATGAGTTTCTGGCTGCCAAGGGACCCTTCAGGACCCGGGGGGAGAAGGTACATAGCATGTGCACGACCTTCTCTGTCCACCTCCTGAGCTGTTGCAAAATGTATTGTATGCTTTAACTGTGTTTTTGTTTGTTCTATTTGGCTGCATTCTCTCTGTCTCTTTCCCCAAAGTGCTTTCAGCTCTCTCTCTGTCCCATATTTAAACTGCTTTAACTGATGTTTAAATGGCTGTAACTAAACCCATGATGATATAGCAACAGTCTTCTAAGGTGTTATAGCTCAACCTCGCCTACTTGTGGCCTGATGCTGATACTACTGTGAAATACAAAGCCCTGACCTCTTACTTAACTTTAAAGAGAACTATCAGAACTGATAGGTTTTATTATATATTTACACATTAGTCATGCTCTCTGTGTTCATCATTATAGATATTTATATTATGGAGGCCTCACACTGGTGTATTAGAGCATGTTCAGGTGTCTGTGCATGAATATTAACCTGAATGGCCTGGATTCATCTGCATGTCCTGCAGATAAAAAAAAATAAATAAGAGCCATGCAATGCCAGATCTGATTATTCTTTTTTAGTGCTTAAATGCTTGGAACACTGGCAAACCTTTCAAGAATAGAATGTGTTAGAGTTGGAGTAATTGAAATAGGCATGCATTAAATGAAGGTACAAACTGATCTCTACTGTTCTTTGTTCTGTTTCAAGGTGGAGAACAAGGTGCTGAAGAAACGCATTCTGAATGATCCGGTAACATATCCAGAGAAGTTTAGTGAGAACGCCCGGTCCATCTGTGAGGGTCTGCTGTGCAGAGAGGTCAACAAGAGACTTGGCTTCAAGAACGGGTCATGTGACGAGCTCAGGGCACACCCATTCTTCAGTGAGATCAACTGGAGAAAACTTAATGCAGGTCTGGGTCGGAGTATATACTGTGTTTTTTCATGCATTTTGTAAAATGTCCTGATGAAGTCCCTAAGCAAAGTGCAGACTGTAACTTCCAGTGAGACTGTAAGTATTTCTGAGTCATCGCTTCCTTGTTAGATTCAATAGACCAAATGGCTAAAAACACCTTCAGAGGCCAAACATGAACACTCTTAGATTTTGGTTCAACCTTGTCTGACTTAATGTTATTGATTACATTCTAAAAGACAAACAAAAAAAAAAGGAAATTCCCACAACATTGTACTTGATGTTTGCCTCTTACTGTGCTGTGCCTCCTCAGGTATCCTTGCTCCCCCTTTCGTGCCAGACTCCAACACAGTTTATGCTAAGGATATTGATCAAGTCGGGGCCTTCTCCACGGTTAGAGGCGTGCAGCTAGAAGACAAGGACAAGGATTTTTTTGATGAGTTTTCCTCGGGGACCGTCTCCATCCCTTGGCAGGAGGAGATGATCGAGATGGGGATTTACGGAAAGCTCACAGTCTGGGGCCCTGATGGCGCTTTGCCTAACGACCTGCGACGTGAATCCATCCTGGAGCAGCCGGCCAGGTCATCCACCTGCGCAGTGTCATAAGAGGCTGCAGTGCATGAATGAGTCCACATGAACTGTTTAAGAACCGTTCCTACACTATTTCAGTACAGGTTAGTGGTGGACTTTGCTCTCTGTGCTATCCGTTCAGTTTTGTTGCTGTGAAACATAAGCAGGTGTTTACTGTGAAAGCCTGCTGAGATTATGTGACCTGATACTGCTTTTTTTAGCGTTGCACACTCTTGGTTTGAATTATCAAACTGGGTGTTTCTAACATTGTACTATTGTTTGATTTTATTTTATTTTTTTAAGCTTTTCATTAGTTCACAGTTTCTATGTGTGTGGCAGCGTGAATGAGCTGCAAGTAAAACCAGGCAGTGCACATCTTGGCTTTCAGTTGCCATGTGAGCTGACAGCTGCTCACTTTCTTCACCGGCCTTGAACTTCATCTGTTTATATGACAAATAAATCCAAGTGACATCACACACACATGTCACTGGGTTATAATAGTTTTACAGCTTCAGAAGTGTAAATAAGCTTGTATCCAAAATTGCAGAGATGTTTATGAACTGAAATAAATATTTAAAATCACCCTGTTCTGTGTATGATGGACACGTTAACAAATCCACTTCCTTCACCTACAGCAATACATTATAAAGCAATACATTATTGCTAGATGCAAGCAGGCAACACATCTCTTCTCATTTCCAGCACCTGCCAGGATTTTAAATCTGAAGTAATTTAGAACATACTGAAATAATTTCTGTTCAGTGTGCTAAAACTATATGTACTGTGTGTGTGTGTGTGTGTGTGTGTGTGTGTGAATGGAGAGAGAGATATAGTACATCTGTTTCAGTACTTTTGTGTATTTGACTTCATTCACATCATTAGAGCCATCTTTGAATGGTCAGTCATTTCCGACACACCCCAAATGTTTTGACAGCCTATAGCTGGTTACAGTATGGCCTGTTTTTCACATGTTGGCCGATGGAGGGCGGTGTTGTCTCTGCCTGCTACTGTTATCTTCCAAATCAAGCTGCAGCATCAGGGATACAACCTCAACCTGCAAGCATTAAAACTCAGCCAAACTTCTGTAGGCTACCTGCAGTTTTATTATAATGTAGAATTTAATCATACATTGTCCCCCTATATATTAAAACGTATATACAAGCAATAGGATGCATTAAACCTAATTAAGATAAATAATTCAATGGTGGGATCGGGGAGCTGATTGGTCTCTCTCTCCCTCTCCCTCTCTCTCTCTCTATCGCTCCAATTTCGAGAAAAGTTGGACCCGTCTGAGCTCAGTCAGCTGCTGTAATACTGCTATGAAATCACACTTTTATTGACCTGGAAATGTTTAACTTTTAAGGGGGGGCCATCTGGTTACCTGCGGCCGCTCTCCGTAGAGGATGAGGACTCTGTTTTGAATCAACAGGGACAATAACCCGCCTCGGTCAAAATCTGCCAGATCTCCTGTTTTAATTTTAGAGCTATTTCGACCTGACTGAATGGAAATGCAGCAGCCTGGGGGCCAGCAGACGACACAGCAATCAGCGACCGAAATACTGGATCCGGCAGGTAGGCGACAGTTTTGTCAGGTGCCATCCTGAAATCTTCCGACGAGTTTACAGTCCCTGCATCTTACAGTATATCATTAGCAACAGATCATTTGAAACGTTGTCATTGGCACCTTTGGTACCACTTTCTGATAACGCAGCATTTATTGGATAAAGTGATTATAAACTGTAATCAACAGATTTCTAAAGGGTTAAAACAATGTACCAATGCGTTATAGATCAGTTATCTTTAAAGCTAGAGGTCTAATTTATTAAGGAGACCTTGTTTGACCATTTATTTTCTGCAAGTCTCCTTAAGGAATGCCTTAAACTGGTGCTGTCTTTTCAGTATTGCTCTATTTAAATATACTGCATAAGAACTCATTCTTTACATATGTTAGAAAAAGGCTGCAAAAATGTATCCAAAGTGAGGACATAAGGCTAATTAATTTCTCTTCTTTTAGATGAAAGAGGGGTTTTACAAAAAACCTTTTCTTTACGTTTTTGTTAGAAATACTTAAAATGCTTCCCCAACAGCTGGTCTGCAGAGGTGGAGAGGACATTTACTCAAGCTCTGTTCTTAAACAAATTCCTGAGGTAGGCTTCTTGAACTTCACTTTAGTGCTTCTATTTTATGCTGTTTTATATTCTCTACCTTAGAGGGAAGCGTTGCACTTTATACTGCACCATATACATTTGACACACATAGTTACTTTGCTGATTAGGATTTTTAAAATACATAATAAATACAACAAAGCTGGAGCTTCAAAACAAAAACTACATCTGGTAAAAAAAAAAAAAAAAAAAAATCCTACATATAATTGATAACAAAGCCTTTATAGCCAAACAAAATGTGCCTTCTTATACAGTAAATCAAACCACCAGACAGTATAGGAATCAGCTCCATTATAGCCAGCTACAACAATAAATGCTGCTTAGTTATGAAATGACAGTGGTAATTTGACCCTTTATTTCTATTATTCATTTATTTAGTTTACATTGTTGCACTAGTACTTTGTATAGTAAATTATCTGAATACTTCTTCCATCACTGCTCACCAAAAAAAGCTTAAATTAAAGAGGAGTAGAGTTCAAATTATTTCAACACATGCCTGTTGTCTTCAGCAAAAAGGAGGTTAGAGATTAAGGTTTGGATTTTATGGTCAGAACTAATCCAGGTTGGTATGTAATTCAGAAGGCCCAGAACAAGGGGAATTTGTGAAAATGAATGTAAAGGGGTCTTCCTTTCCCCTTATGTCTTTTTACTGTTTTCCAGCAGTTCAGTACCTGCGTCGGAGGAGAACAGCTCTGGGGTTGACTGTGTCTCTGCTGGCTCTGGCTCTGGTGGTTCTGACAGTGGGTCTCCTCTCTGCCACTCGCACTGACAACGTGCCTGTCGCTGGATTTTACCCTGGCATCATTGTGAGTGACAGTCACCCTCGCGAGCCTTAAACATATTTGTCCTGTTTTTTTAAACACATAACTACTCTATGATTGTGACATGGTGTGTTTTGTTATCTGCTTCTCATGTTTCTTCTTGTCTGCCACTCTTTCTACCTCCAGCTGAGTTTTGGAGCATTTCTGGGTATTGTTGGCATCCATCTGGTGGAAAATCGCAGACCCATGGTGAGTCTGTTCCTCTAGCTCCCATGTCATTTTTGTAACACATCTAATATCTCATTGTAATGGTGACTTGTCTGTGTGTATTACCTGTGTGCCTGCAGCAAAAAGGTTGCAAAAACTCCTTCAAGTAACAGCTGCTACCTTTTAGCATAGATGGCAACGGTTAGAGCTGCTTGGATCACTGCACACACACGTGTAGACACATAAGTTTATTTTTAATGATACACCAACTTATCCACCTCAGTAAAGCAGAAAAATGTTTTTGCAGTGAAAATGTGCATAAAGGCGGATGGAAATGGACCTATCAACAGTTGGTTTCTGTAATGTGCTGTAACACAAATAACACAAAAACAGAAAACGGGAGAAAAAGCTATAAAAGAAGAAGCAACTGTGTTGTTTTCCAGCCACAGCAGCCGGCTGTTCTCAACAATAACAAAAAAGGCTCAAAACAGCAGACTAAGTTAGTGACAGGTTAATGAACAGTAGAGCATTTAGCAACTAAACATGCACATATTTGTCCCACCAGTTGGCAGACAGTACGCCATCTCACCTTTTTAAAGGTATGTGAGCGTTGTGTTCACAGCTTGGTCTGCTGCACCCAAGTGGCCGTAAAAGGATTTGTTCAGAAATACATTCAACATGACAACATGTATAATGTCACATTATAACCTTCTCCTTGGCCACTCTCATGGTGCCTTCTGTCAGATTTTTGAGCTTCATAAAATTCATCTTCTAAAAATGACGCTTTGTTCCTGGAAAGGGGGACACATATATACCATAAATTAGAGGATTATATTACAGACTTTGTAAATTCACTAAACAGTTTTGCAGGAAATTGCTCTGTTATGAGCAAGAAGCAAATTCGATTATTCGATGGCGACGTAATGTGTTCTTGGTCCTTGTGCCCGGGGCAGTGTACGTGACTGGATTTGTGGTCAGAGGAAGTGAATGTGATTGGCTCTGGATTTCAATGACAAGAGGGGAAATTGCATTAGTATTGGTCAGTTGCTGACAGGGCTCCTTTATTTCAGGGAGGAACACAGGTATTATATCATCAGAGTTCCTCACTGTACAACAGGGGGTTCAAACTGTTACTGCAGAGTACAGAGACATTTACAGGTACAGTAGGCCAAAGATCAGTAGTATCATCACATTGCTTGCTAAAACCTCCAAATGATCATTAAAGTACAAAGGACATGACCTCAGTGTCATCAGACACTGTCATCAGTATGTTAATAAAATCTAAAAAAGGCATCAGAAGGTGAACGAAGCTCTGCAGTGTTTATTTTGTCTGCAATAACTATATAGTCATTTTCTAGACATTTAGAGACACTTAATGCAGTCTTGATGTAATAGAAATGTAAATATACCTCCTCTGTCTGTCTCCATGACTGTGGTACAGGAGAGTGTGGTGTTAATTTTTCATGTGGCTTCCAGGGTTTCGTGTGCCTGGTCAGATCTGTTTGTCTTATGTTACGCTACAGCTATTGTATCGAATCTAATCTACGCAGATACCTTTCCTAGAGCTGTTCACACATGTGGACAGATATACACTCTCTCTCTCTTTCTGTGTATGCAGCTGACATAGTTCAATTTACACTGATCAGCTATAATATTATGACCACCCACCTAATCCTGTGTACAAAGGAGTCAATCTGGCAGTTGGTTGGTGCTCGTGTCACTCTGCAGCTTGCTGTGTTTCTGTGAATCTGTTTGCTTCCATAGTGTATAACTATGGAAGAACAGAAATTTGTCAACCATTCAGTAAAAAATATGTGAAAGGAATGAAAACTGTGGTCGTGAGGACAAGTTACAGATCATCTTTAGACAAATTCAGCAGCCTCCCAACTCTGTGATATCACTACTACAGCCTCTGAATGGTTCTCCTCATAGAGACCAATGTACTGTACTTCTCATTTTCATTTTAACAAAGGTTCAAACAAAATGGAATCTTTTGAAAAGGATGAATGACATTTAAAAGTTTAATCTACAGTAGATCAACCTCATCATCAGTGAGCTGTGGGCGTCCTTCCTCAGACCACTGTTGGTAGGTACCAACCACTGCAGACCAGGAACACCCAACAAGATCTGTAGTTTGGGAGATGCTCTGACCCAGTTGTCAGCCCTCACAGTTTGGCCCTTGTCAAAGTCACTAAGATCCTTATGCTTGTCTGTTTTTCCTGCTTCAATCACATCAACTTCGAGGACTGAATGTTCACTGGCTGCCTAATAACTCCCACACACTGACAGGTGCCAGTGTAACGAGATAATCAGTGTTATTCACTTCACCTGTCAGTGGTCATTATGTTATGGCTGGTCGGTGTGCAGTAAAGCACCATTTAACAGGCAGGCTTAGGGTTAAAAAGCTCCGTATTTTCGGTAGTTCTTACTGTTTTTCAATGTTGGCTGTAAATTGGTGAACACAGGGGAAAGACTGACAAAGACATTCATTCCCCGCAGTTTCTGTCTGCTTCCGGCATCACTCCCAGCTCTGCGCTTTAAATGTTAATGGTGTGATCACTGCCACTCTAGCGCTGGCCTCTTATGAGGCACATGTGGCACAGTGTTTGCTGTCACACAGGTGTCTTCTTCCCTCCTGTGTCTGAGGCTCCTCCTGTAACATGAGAGCTGGCTGCCAGAGTAAGAGCTCTCATTAAAAAAACAACTAACCCATGGCAAGGACATCTGAGAACGCTGAAGCTTTTCTTATTTCCTGGATCCCACAACCCTTTGCTCTTCAGATCTTAAGCTGATGGATGGCCTGAAGTAGCCTGAACTGTAAACATCCACTGTATTTTAAGACATTGTGATCCTATTATTTATATTGCAGAGAGCCCTCTTTAGCATCAGAGACTTGTAGGTATTACATACAGTACATGCTGCATTTGCATATCTTGGATAAGGCTTTAAAAGCTTAATGACTCGTGTATCGGCACTCTTCATTTTATCTTATCTTGTCCTCAAAGTGTTTAAAAGGATTGTGGGCCACAAAATTAAATCTGTAAAAGAAAGAAAAAAAGAAAAACCTACTCCTATAGCAGGCTTCACTGCCCTGACACACTGTGAGACTTCTTTATGACTAAATGCTTCATGTAGCTCATGTTATTTGCTCCAACAACCTCATGTGTAGTTACTACCTGTACCTCACAGGCTGTTGTCCTTTTGGTCACCTTGCAGCCCAGGCAGGAGAACCGTGAACCTTTAAAAGGCTGTATTTTACCCAACAGGCCATAGGACAATCAGTTCTCATTACCAGTGTGTCCAGCTGTGGTCCTGATTGGTCACTGGACCACTGAGCAGGGGAAGAAGACCTTGCAGCGGTCAGCGACTTTAGTTACAGAACCCGATAGGCATCTTTACTGAAGCTATAAAATTCTTCTTTGTCTCTATATCCCTGATGTCTCTTCTTCCCTAAAACTTTTATCATGTGTGTCTTTGGCTTTTGTTGGCACTTCTCCTTTGTTTTTCAGTGATTAAAAAAGTACTTGGATTCTTTACTTAAAGTGGATATAATGTATCCAATTACAATGTGAAAACACTGTTACACTGTGAAAGAGTTCACTCTTACTGGTGAGACTCCAGAGGCTTATCATCTGGCTGTGCTGACACCCATCAGCTTTATAGTGAGTTTAGCTGTGCTGTCTGCAGCTTTTCTGACTTGGTTCGCTCTCACTGCTCCCGTTGGCAACAGCAGGAAGCCCACTATATGCCACCTGTTCAGCACCAAACAGCCAACAGGTTAGCAAGAAACTAGTGAATATAGTGGAGCATTTATCATGTTGTCCCTCTGGGGTTGGTACAGACCCAAAACAGAGTTAACTAGAATTATTGCTTGGTGGTTGTATGCATCCGCCACCCAGTCAAGTTCACAGGAATAGGATGATGTGAGGTCACCGTGACCCTGACATTTCACCATTAAAATCAAATCAGTTCATCCTTGAGTCCAACTGGACATTTGTGCCAAATTTGAAGACTTTTTAAAATTTCATTACAGCATTAATTTTCAGCAGCAGCACAAAAAAGTATGTCAGCAAGTGTGTTGACAGATGCACAAGTAACCTGGTGATTGACTTTCTGGAATATCATGGTTATGTGCTGTACATGTAAACATTGTTTCCTAGCGTCAGATACATGAATATGCCTTCTGGACCTCTCTATGGAATGTACAGGAAAAATACTGTGGTAAAACCATGTATACAGTATATTCATGCATGAAAAAACACTCAAGGCTGTATTCACAACTTTTTTCTGCTGCTTTTAAGTGTGTGGCCAACAATTCAGGATTAAACAAAAGTATCAGTACATTTATGTAAATATCCTTCGTTACAGTAAAAGTCTTAATAGTATTAAGTCAGTAGAAGTACTGTTTTGTATTTTCCACCACTGCTGTCTTTTTAATATTTCCTTAGTGACTTGACTCCTGAGAACAGAAAACTATCTACATTATGTCTGTGTGTCTTTAATTTTTTGATTTTTCTCTCTGCTCCAGTTGTATCAGGGGAGGTTTGGGGGTTTGGGGGACAGGGTGTGTTGAGATGTTTTATGTGCTGGCAGCTGGTGCTAAGGTAATGTGAAGTAATGCAGTTGTCAGGCTCTATTGTCTCGGCTGCTGGCCTCATCTCCCACTTGCAGCCCATAAAAGCAGAGCCATTTAAACTGCTAATGAAGTGGAGAGTCTGGACCAGCGGCAGATAAAACCCACCAAGAAAAAGCTTATTTTCTCAGCCTGGCTCTGATTTCACTTTGTTGAGGGAAATTAATTTTAAAATCCCACTGTTTCTCTCTCTTTTCCTGCACCTTGGATTCTCACATGAACAGCTAGACCTTTCATATATAAGCCTTGATCACTAGGTTAAACTAGGTCAAATAAACCTGTTTGAGTTTGTTTTAAACATTTACACCGCTGTACTGAACAGGCATGTTTGTCTCTGATTATAAAGTTTATTATTTAACCACATGGGTATTTTCACATTATTTTCCTGATTAGACCTTTTCTCAGCTGTGAGGGCCTATTACCAAGTGGGCAAAGCTGGCAACTGCCCCAGACGTCTATGGGCTGCCATAAGTAACAACTTTACCATGTGTTTTTGCTAGTTTGATTGATTGTAGAGTTTGTGTTGTCAGTGAACATTTTACTGCTACAACCATGATGAACATTTTCATGTCCCGCCAAATATGTAAATTACCAACATTCCCCTGTTATGTAATAGAAATGTAATACTGTCTTTGCTGTTGCAGTGTAGTTGTATATAAATGTAATTCACTGGTTGTTCTTTGGTGATATCATGAAGCTGTGACGTACACTATGGGTACTTGAAAAGGTGCGTAGGATACCATGTAGTGTGGATGTTATTTTGGGGGATTCAGTGTGGTGTAGTTTTGGTCTTATGTAACAGAAAACCAACTGAAAAGCCTCTTCTCAGTGTCACAAACAAGCACTCCTGAGAACGAATGACTTGTGACTGATGAAAAGGTTTGCTCTTAGTCTCACAACTAATCACCTGTGCAGCTTCAGGATCACTAGATGTAAATTATTTAAATAATCCAACCATTAAAGGTCTTCTGGGTTAAATAAACTAAGCTGAACTCTCTGGGTTGCCAGTCAGGAAAAACTGAAGATCTTAAATGGCAACATAAATCAAGGCCGGGATCAGAAAAGTCTCCCATGAATCAAAAAAGTTGCTCATATCAAAGCAGGATCAGTACATACACTAGGTTATTAAAAATCTACATTACCTTTTTGTTCTTAATTCTTGTGACAAACTGCTGCATCCCACCTGCCGTTTTAGATGGAGAGATACAGTAGATGAAGGAAAAGTGTGTGTTCAGTCTCCTGCTTCAGTACAGCAGGTTTGGTCCTCGAGGAGTGATTGAACAGACAGTAAACGACACTCAGTGATAAAGTTTATGATCATACATCTGTGATCAGCCAGCTGGGTGTGTGTGTGTGTGTGTATGCGTGTACAGGATCAGAAAATTACTTTGTCTTACAGTAGATGATTTATAGAAGAAAAACGTGTGTTTCACATTGTTCAAATTGTTTGGAAAGAAATGTTTGGAGTTTATTGATCAGTGATCAGATTCATGGTCAGATGTGGATTTGTTTTGTGCAGGTCCTGTGTGTGTGTGTCTGTCTTTGTGTATCAGATTGGGAGAATTAGATTGACCTTGGTGGTACAAAAGGCCGTCCTTCCGTCCGATATGTTGCCTCTTTGCCCATAAATTACCCACAAAGCACCTTTGCGTTGGCAGAGCAAGAAGTCGTACATTTCCTTTATTGTCCTGCAGCCCAGATGCTGCAGACGACCAATCAGGACACACACCATCAGAGACTGAGCTTACATAAAAGGCGTGTGTATGTTGAGTCTATGATGATATTTTGACTTTGCAAATTAAGACATTTCATTATATCAATTAATAAATATAAATAAGAAACAAATATTTAATTCTGAGGAAAATGAAAAATACTGTGTATAAATAAATGTGTATGTGGCAATAAATGATCATAACATGGAAAAATCAATTTCCTTTCTAGTATCCTCCATCTTTATGTTTACCCTGGTCTCTGTAAACTCTATGTTTATTGTTATTTTTGATTACCTGAAAAAGAGAATTTATTCTAAACAGTTACGTACATATTTGCTGCATATTTAACATCAGACAACAAATTTATTTATGAATCTATTTTCTGATTGATGTTTTTATTATTTATTTTTCATCTTCTTGAGACAAAGCTCGTTGAGGGAAATATATGATTTGTGATATGGGGCTATACAAACAAAGATGGACTTATTTTTTCCTCCATTATTTTATGTAGAAATATCATTTTGCAATCAATATAGTTCAAATAATGTATATCACAAGATAATACATTTGTTGCTCCTTATTGTGATGGTAACTTTGTTCCAAAAATAATATATATATAATTTGTTAGTGTATATATTTCTTATTGTATTTATTCTCCCACCTCTCTTTAAGCTAGTGGCAGCGATCATCTTCATCAGTATCGGAGTCATCGCGTCCTTTTTCTGCTCCATTGTTGATGGGATCATCGCTTCAGAGTTCATTGTAAGTAGCACATGTATTTACATGCCTGGTCTGGAAAGAAAAAAAAAATAGAGTAGTTCACCTTTTTTTGTCAGAACAAACCCTAACACATTCACAGAAAATTTAATCAAACTTGCAAAGATCAAGACAGGTTTTTTTGCTACAGTTCAAGACAGGCACAGACACATGAGTAAGATCAGTACCTTTGTTGACACAATCAGACAGAATCAGAGCCAGGCAGGAAGCCCAGACCGGGAGGCTGACCTGCAGAGAGCTGCTGGGTCACCTGAACAACTACGCACACATTCAGCATGACAGGGCTGATTAAATGTGTCCAAAAAGTTACCCAACTTTCTGTGTGTGACTAAAAGCTCTTGTATTATGATGTAAAGAAATACACAGTGAATATGCAACAATCAAAGATGCATATATATGTATACATTTTATAAAGAAATTTCCTAGTACAAGAAACATTGGGATGGGAAATATGGATATTTCAGGATTGATCCAAACATCACTCACACAACACAAATACACTGTTAACTGCTGGCTGGTTTATAAGGTCTCACCTACACTAGTAGTTTGTAATATATAGTCTTTATTAATGAACACAAACTTTGCACATAAAGGGCAATTCCACAAAGTTTTTTCTCTCTCTCCTACTGGAAAACATGTTGACTTTACACAGTTCCTTATTTTCATAGACAGAAGCATTTTCATAATCAGTTTATCAACACTCATTTGTCCCCATCATAGTATCATTCTCTCTCAAAAACTCCAGATTTTACCAACTCCCATGCATAACATTCAATTTGCACAAATACTTGAACAGAAAATGCACAGAGGTCACAAAAGGACATCGTTGCCTCCTTGCTATCTTAGATGTTTGGATACGCAAACATGAACACCTCAATTTGTCACATCAGCCTAATGAATTTTAATGACTGTCCTAATGAGTCTGGAGCAGAAAGAGTTTAAAAAGCCAGGCCTCTTGGTACCTGGTGCCGAATCACTGATATTGATCACCAGTGCTATCAGACCTTTGCAGCTATATTTATTTTGTGCTCACAGGACACTAAAAATTATATTTATTGCACCTTCAATCGTTGGACAGTGAAAATGATTTTATTACCTTTCACATAATATAAAGTGCAGTGAGGTTTAGTGCTGTAGGCTGTGATGCCTGGTGCAGTGGATGGTTTGGAGAACAGGCACAGTGTAAACTGCCACTGCTGCAGTGACAGAGAAACAGGAGGACAATGGGTGCAAATTGACACACATAACTTTACAGGATTCGCAAGGCAAAATGTGCAAGACTGGGGGTTGGGGTGGATGCACAGTGTTGTATGTTGCATGTGGTACAATGGTACAAGTCAATTTGTCTCATACATCAGATCCCATTTCCGTTTCCATATAATTGTGCCTCATGTATTTAACAAATCCTTTATCTCTCGTTCTAATCTTTCTAACACATACAGGACAAAAGACCTGTGCAGGAGGACATGTGTCAATTTTACACCAGTGGATCAGGCTATGCCTACGATAGCTACTATACTGAGGTGACACTCATAATACTGCAAACATACGCTCTGTACATACATCATATACCGAGTAATTTTTCACTGAGCAAATATATTTTTAAAAATTAAAATAACAATGGAAATACTGAACCTAACATAATGTGCTACTAATCTTTCTCCTCCTACACACTGCTTTATATGTGTGTCTCCGTAGTTATCTTTTAAACACTGTAAATGGAAATTAAAATGTGTTTTGTGTCAATGCAGGGTTATATTTTGTTCTTCCAGACTTTTGGTACTTAATTTAAAGTTTCACTAAATGTGTATTGACATCTAGTGGCCAAATAATGTTACTGCAAAAATTTACTTAACTTAAATTACAAGCAAAAGAGGATGTGGAAGCATGTTGACACATGGACAGCCACCTACTGGTCATGCATTTCTTTATTCAAGCAGTTTGTCCAGCTCCCACTTGTGTGGTTGTTGTATCAGTTTTCATGAATGTATTGAAAGCTTTATTTGAAATGGGCTCTGGGTACTCATCAAACCTCTGATACTGTAGATGACGTGCCATTCATTCAACAAAGACTGCAAGATGAAAGTGAGGAGCAACACCTGCTTCTGCTGCTACCTCTACAACTGTGAGAGGTGAGCACCAGGCGTTCACACCTGGCCCTGCACTTAAACACCTACGACTTACACTTACAGCATACTCTAGACCAATTTATGAGTAAAAAGGTCTTGATATTAGATCAGCCACAGATCTGGCAGACTTTAAGTTACTGCTCAAGACCTATTTATTTTCCATGGCTTTTGGATCATAGTGGAGTTTGATGTGTTCTCCTCTTCTAATGTCTTTTACTATCTGCAATAAATGATTTGATTTCAGTAGGCTCTAACATTTCTCTTGCTCCATCACAGCGAGTGTATTTGTTTTTGTCAGTTATAATGTAATTGTCTGGTAATACACTAGAGAGCAGGGGATAATGGTAAAACACTATCCTAGATTTCTGAGCTGGCTGCCAAAAGTTAGATATTAATTAGACTTGTGCTTTTCCTGCAATGACAAATCAAAAAGAAGGCCTCGTAATATAAGGTAATGTAAGGTATACAAGCTTTGTGATTTATGGCGATAAGAATTAAAATACTGTTCCCTTCCTCTTCCAGCACAGAATACCAATCACAGTACTTTGAGTTCATCGGGGTCAGCAGCTGCTGGGATGTGGTCCACCTGCACCGGCTGCTGTGGGCCTCAGTGGTGCTCAATGTGATCGGCTTGTTCCTAGGCATCATTGCTGCTGCCATCCTTGGAGCGTACAAGGATATGGTGAGCAGGAAAGGATTAAAAATGCTGAAAAATGCAAGTTCTCTGGCAACTGGGAATCTGTTTCAAACACAGGAAAATCTGATCCTGCTATTAATCTTAATGGCCCTGATTTTATGATTATTGTTCCGACAGTACATTAGGCAGCAATCACACTCCATTACCTCTTACATACTGAAGTGCGTGTGTGTGTGTGTCCAACTTAACCAGTGCGCATGCTTTCCAGTCTCCCTTGATGATTTAGCATCTTATCCCAACATTTTTGCTGTTTGCTGCAGCAGAAGCCGACTCCTGCGATGGCCTCCAGCCCGGCACCGCCACCTCACATTCTGTACAACCCCACCCAGCACATGCTCACCTACGCTGGGTTCTGCCCAGGACAGACTCTGCCTGCATACCCCAACTATCCAATCTCCATGCAGGTAGGGGCCAAAACACAAAAACAACACTGCACAGCGTTAGCGCTGCTCTTGCAGAATATGTAAAGATGCCGTCTTCTGTACGACCAGAAGGTACATTGACAGTAGGCACGTAACGGAGCAAACACGGATTTGTCAAACATAGCTGTTGTATTACCTTCCAGTTTTTTCTTCATATTGCACTGCCATCTCCTTTTTCTTCCCTTCTTCTTATGCCTCAGTGCCTGTAATGGCTGCAGCTGGAGCCATCGTGTTTTCGTGTTGTCTGTCCATCTGTATGATTCTTGTGAATTGGATACACGGGGAACACCTTGAGGGAATTTCTTCAAATTTGGACTCAGGGATGAACAGATTAGTTTGTGGTGGTCAAAGGTCACTGTGACCTTGCGTTTGCCCCATTCTTGTGAATGTGACATCAAAGGAAGACCTTGAGAGGAATTTCTTCAAATTTGGCATAGATGTCCACCTGGACTCAAGGATAAACTAATTCGATTTCGGTGGTCAGAGGTCAAGGTCTGTGACCTCACTTCTGTCTCATACCTATGAACCTGACTGGTTGGTGGTGGCGCATAAACGTGAACCGGTAATTCTCCCTCTGGTCTTGTTCCTTGGTGGAAACACTTCTGGTTGCTGAAGCTTTCTCTGCCAATCAAAATATAGTGACGTAGACAGCCGGTATGTCTCACAGATTAATTATTGATGATAGATAATTGTTTCTGATACTGCTGTGGCTGCAACCAGAGAACCAGACTACACAAAACAAAATAAAAACTCACATCTCACATAAATACCACAGTTTTAGGAATCTCAGGCTCTGCTTCCACATACGCTACCATGACGACCTACCACTCACTGCCTGCGTTCCTCTCCCACAGCATAACAGCAACTACCAGACACCTGCTACACCCCAGCTGATCCCTGAGGGAGGCCCTGCCTCTGCCTCCTACCCGTCTGAGGAGAACCACCAGCCCTCTCAGGCTCCCACCCAGCCACAATGTCAGGGAGCCACCCAGGAACCAGGAGGCTACATGCTGACTCCCAATGCTCCTGTCCTCTATGGACCCACCTATCCCACCTTTGAAAAACCTCCACCGTATGCCTGCTGAGCCCTCAAACATATTGATTCATTTGTTTGTTGGGGCATGTTGGTAAGAAAATATCTTGATCTGGTCTGTCTGAATGTAGCACAAGACATTTCATAGGGGACCTTGTAGACTTAAAACACAACCCTCAGCTTATTGATTTAATGCTGTCTGATGGGTTTGGACTGCAGAGTCAGATTTGTAGCTGTGTAGTGTGATTCTGTAGGCACGATTAAGTTATTACTTGTATATTTATTAAAAGAAACAGCACTGGAAAGGCACTTATTTGCTTCCTTGCTTCGAGATAGAAGACTGATATCACTCTCATATCTGTAGCTTAGCACCTAGAGAGAACCCACGCAGCCACAGGGAGAACATGCAAACTCCACAGAGAAGGCCCAGACTCAAACCCAGGACCTTCTTAGGTGACAGCGCTAACCCCCACACTGTTGTGCTTAACATAAATACTACAATCACATAACCTGACTCTGTCCAAATGGAAAGCTAAACTGAGTAATTGATACATTCTATGTTGTTTGTGCAACCTGTACAAAACTGAAGTGTAAAAACTGAAAATTGCATTTTGATCTCAGCAAGAAAGTAAATAAGTGTGTTTCTCACAATGCCTAACTTTTCCTTTAATCCTAAACCTGGCCTTCAGGTGCATACATATGACATATACTGTAAATAAGTATATAGCAGTACACTTGACTGTGCTCTTTCTGTGGTAACTTGTGTAGACTGGATTACAGGTCTTCCTGTATATTGTCTCACTATACTAACTACTGTACAAGCAATCAAAAGGGCTTTCTTAAAATGTGAACTGGAGAGAAAATGATGCCAGTGTTGCTGTTAATTATTTTTGTGTGAATCATTTAATGTGTACTTTCAAGTTAATATACTGTCTCTATTATTGATGATGCATGTTAACTGCTGTAGGATGAGACTCTGTAGCTACTGCTGCTACAGTATGTAATACATTATGTATTAAAGAGGAACCTATAAATGCATCCAGTGCATCTGCTGATGCATACAAATACAAAATGTGGAATAAAGGGTTTTTCCAAATTTTTCATTTAAGTCAACACTTTTGGAAAGACACTTGTTTGTATGCTTGCTCAAATTGTTAGCTCAAAGCTAACTACCAACACCTCCAAACCTCACTAATTGATCTTAATTATTATACTAATACACAGATTACATTATGGACAGAGCCAGGACAGCTGTTTCACCGTTGACACTTTGTGCTAAGCTAGGTTAGTCACTTCCTGGTGAGCATCATATCAGTCTTATCATCTCTCTACAAGAAGGCAAATAAGCACATTTCCAAAACATGTCAAACTCTTCCTTTAAATGTAGCATTTAAAAATTGATACTTTTCCAATTAGTACCAGGTGTTTCCACTGTACTGTTTCACTCTAGAAGAAATCATAATTACAAATAAAAAACTGAATACATAATAAATAAAACTTGCTTTTGCTCAACCCAGTATACTACTACTGCTGCTATAGCCTTACTTGGTCTGGTATGACCAGTAGCTTATGGTAGCAAATGCTAAACTTTAAGGAGACATTGCTGTATAACATACAATGAACTTACTCTTCTCTATGTAACTGCTGTTATTCTACATTTTAGTTTTAATCGTGATCCTCGTCACTGCCACACTGGTCACTCAAACTTAATTCGACTCACTTTTCATCAGCTCTTTGCAATTTTTAGCAAATGGACCTTGACCAGTCGTCATCTTGTGTTTAAAGTACAAAATGCCTGCCTGTCATGTGTTAACAGGTGTTCAAATGTAGGGGTACAGTTTAACACGTAAGCATTTTCTCAACCACCACTTACAGGTCAAGGTTCATAAAATCAAGCCCAGTATTCTATGGTTGGACTTTTTTTTTTTTGCTGTAGACATTCAGTGTTTATACATTCTATAACTACCTCTATATAGTAGTTTTTATTGTTAGCGGCACAGTCCACCATACCCTTTACAGCTGTGAGAATTAATAATAATAATAATAATCACCTTCACCTTTGACCAAGTATGTTACACACAAGGAATTTGTTTACGGTACAGAACCGCAGCAGCTGTCTGACATTCAAACCTCCGACCCTCGAGTTGGGAGCTGACTGCTCTACCCACCGAACCATAGTTGCCCCTCAAAAGCTTGCCGTGATTCCACTGGGGCACAAACCCAGGACCTTCTGCGTGTAAAGCAGACGTGATAACCGCTACACTATGGAACCACAATTAGTCCAATAATCGATTAGTCAATCAAAAGAAAATTAACTGGCAACTATTTTGTTAATCAGTTAAAAGTTTAAGTTACTTTTGAAGCAAAAATGCTAAACAGTTGTGAATCAAATATACATATTTCTACAAAACAAGGAGTCTTTTCCTGAATTTTTGTCAGCAGTTTTGAATATTGCAGAAAGTAATATAACAAGAAACAGCAGCCCCAGTGAGCATGATGCGAGATACAGTTGACAGCTGTACTGGACAAACATTGTAAAGTAAACCTTTGGTTTAAAATGCCCGCAGAGCAGGACATGAGAAGCTAATTACTAACATAATCACACAGCCCAGAACAGTATTTTTTGAAAAAAACAATTTTACTCTGATGTTCATACAACTGCTTTTATTTTTGTTTTTAAATAGGATTTTCACTGTTGAGGGAAAATAAAACTCAAAAAGACCTATCAGCTCTGAACACATACTGGCAGTCAAAGATAAAAATAAAAACTAAGGAGTATTTCAATATACAACGTATATGATAAAAAAACAAAAACAAACAAAAAAAAACAACACACCAATTTCTATATTCTGCCATTCATTCATCAGAAAACTAGAAAATGACACATTGCAGAAGGATGTAACATAACACTGGAGCCCTTCTGGCTTTCTCAATCACAATGCTCCTCTGACATTCCTTGTTTATATTGTGTTTTGATTTTCTCAGCACCTATAAAATCAAATTTAAAAACTGATTCTCTAAAGAGTTATGACACTTGGATCCCCAGCTTTTGCTCTCATAGTCTCCAAATCCCCATTTAAAGAGAAGAACCATGAATCTGTCGCTCAAACATTTTTAGGCAGATGAAGTTGACGGACTCAGATTATCGTTCACCTTTGAATCAACTTAAGTCTGCAGAAAACCTCAGTGAGCATCGAGTACTGTTCGTTTTCAGTCTTCTATAAAGCATTGTACAGTCACATTATTTACATATTCAGTATATTACAGCGCACTCTTTTTACTCTCAGTAGCTTGTGTGGTGCGATCCATGCAGTGCTCTCCCTCCTTCAAAGGGAGGGCCCCTTCCTGTCTCCCTGTGCTTCAGTGACTAATCTATCATCCTCAGATTGGTAAATGGCAGGTATTGGCTGTAAATGGGCGATTCTGAGAGAAAGAAGGGGCCTTTGTGACAAAGTTACTGATTGGAGATTACTGATAATCAGGGTGTGAGTCATGTCTTTAACAAAGTATAATAACATGGTGTATTAACTACAACATTTCTTTAGGAAAAGGACTAGCTCTGTTTGTGTTACAGTACTGCACCTTTGTGAAATGATTCACCTGTTTGGAGGGACGCTGTCAAGACGTTTGGGTTGGTTGTTTTCGGTAGGCACGTGGCTGATTTTTAAGGTTGCAGGCAGACATGGAGTGCTGCTTTAGTCAAGAAGAAATCAAGAAAATGGTCCATTTCTACCTGCAACAATGTGCAAGGTTTTCTTCAGAACACAAAGTGGTGCCTAACAAAACACCAGCATGCTGACAGAGGGGATTCAGCTTGTTAGGAGCAAAAAAAAATAAAATAAAAAATTAGTTCCTAGTAACCCTCCAAATCATTATACACCAAATACTCATGAAGATCTGTGCACCTTTTTGGCTGATGTAGGCCTGTTTATCTGGTCCCAATTTTTCATTTCATCAACTTCTTTGTGAACGTGGGCCTTAGGTGAACGGGATGCAAGCGACATGACCACAGCACCATCAGCTGAGAAGCTGCAGTGAAATGTCACTCTCCCTACACAGTTCCAATCAGATCTGCATTTACAGGATGCCAGGCATAGTAGGCTGACCCAAGACCAACCTTTTAACACTGATCCGGATAAGGCCCTGTGTGGCATACAAGGATTTTGAGGCAATGTTGTGCAGCATTTATTCCTATATCTTCTGCCTATTACAGAGATGTTGCCCATTGGTGATGTAACTAGCCTGCTGATTTACAGTACTGTGAAAATCCCTGCAAGCGCCTCTTGGCAGCAGTGTCATCACAGTAAAAGGACAAGGTGATCTTGGGCTAAGGCTTCAGCTGCAACACAATACTTGGTCTATTTTTTTACATTCCAATCTAAATTTATAAATACAGTGGAAATCATTTCCATTGCCTCAGTGAACTGCTTATGGATTGGCTTTGGTAGACTGATGCACTGATCACAGGCGAGAGTCCAGCAGAGGGCATGAGTGTGAGCGGATATCATTGTGTTTGTGAACAGCTCGGTCCAAGTCCAGAGACTGCCCATTTACACTGACCTCCATACAGCCGCTGTAGTGTGCTGACACCAGTGTGGACACCAGAGGAACATCTGAGGGAGAACATGGCAACATGTGATTCAGCAGAGAAGAAGACCGACTATGTGTAGCTACACTACTTGTGAGCTAACCATTAGAAAGAAAACTTCAGTGTGTTGAATCTGTCACAGTATTAACCAACTATTAGACTTTTAATTAAGGTTACATGACAGTTCCCAAGAAGTTGTCTTACAAAAGTTGTCTAGCAAAATCAAAAAAAAGCCTTATGTCTTCTTTCCAGCTTACAGAATGTTTCTGTTGTTTCTGGCTCTACAGTTTTCCCTCAACTAGTACAGAAGTGATAATTAAAGTTTGCTGGGTACCCTGAACAGCCAAGTGGTTTCATTGAGTCTGGAGATGTGGAGACATGGCCATCTCTCCCAGTAACTTTATAGGAATTTCTGTACTGCATGCGCTCACCCTTTTTTCAACCGGGGTGCCATGATGCTCATTGTGATTACAGGTTCAGCTGCAATAATTAATATTATTAATACTATAAAAAGTCACGTTTAACAATCTGCAACACATGGACGAATTAAATTACTCTTCCAACTTAAATGACCAGTGAACAAGAAAGCTGCCTTTCGGAAGGAAGACCTTTTGTCTATACGCTCGTTGGGGTAGACTTTAACATTACTTCACAGCAGGTCAAACTCACAAGGTGAATTTCACCTCACTCTGTCATGCTGGCTGCTGCTCTGGTTCCATTTTGTACTGATATCGTGAGACAACTTTCACATCAACGATAATTATCGTCACATTTTAATATTGTGACATGTTGCCATACCCCCCATTCTCATATGTGTGTCCTCACCGGGGAGGCCTCCTATGAAGGTGGTGGATTGAGAAAAGAGGTCAAAAGGAATTTCTCTGTCTTCACTTCGTCCAGGCTGGCCATCGATCAGCAGCTTGGTTTGGTTGCCTAAGACTGTCACCTCGATTTCATGACTTTCACCATCACACAGCGGAGCCGGAGAGCTGGCGACGACGGAATCATCTACAGATACCAGAAGAAACTGACGACACAAAAACAAAAGGTCAATCTTCAAAAACAAAAAAAACAAAAGCCCAAACAAACAAAAACCAAACATACAGTAACAAACTAACTTTACATACAAACACAGGCTGAAATATAAAGAACTCACATCTCGCCATTCATCTGTGCTGGGGTGATAGTCAGCCAGAGCAATGGAGAGAGGAACTCTGTCCTGGTGAATCAGTGCAAAAAGTACTCCAATTGCAGAGGTTGGACGCAGGATTAATTTGATGCTCAGGTTCTCTGATCCTGAAGAGAGGAGCACAGGAAGAGAGAGAACAGCAGCTCATGAACTTTATACACAAACTGAATGAAGCTAACTGTTGACAGAAGTGTAGCTGATGATGGAAGCCAAACAACTTAAAACACTGACTAACTGCTTCAGGAAGAAGCAATTACACTAAGCTGCGTCTTTCCACATGCTATGCACAAACACACACACACGTGCACACTGCACCATAACTGATGTTGAAGAGAGCGAAGCCTGTGCCGGGGTAATATGATCCAGGAACCTCGGCGCTGAAACACTGCATGTTGTCATTGGACCGGATGGTTTCTTGAATGGAAGTGTCTTCACCCGTCAGCCAGCGCCACTCCTTCATACAACCATCCAGACGAGGGTTTACCTTTTGTAATAAATATTATAGTTGAGAAATATGTAAAGAACGTGTCTTTTTGGTTATTCAAGAAGATACACAAACGCATGCAAAACAAACACCTGATTAACGAGGCCATCCTCTCTGAAAGGGACTCCTCCCACAGTGAGGTTGAGTTCATGCATTCCCTTGTGTAGTGTAAACAGATCACCATTTACTGCAATCTTCATGACGGCTTCCCTGTCAATCTTAATCACAAGGCTCCGCCCCTGCTCCTCTACTGAGATCTGAGAAGACGAGACATTCAAAAGGCTTTCAGTCAGATAATAAAGTTGCTGCAGACACTTGAATACTGCTCACAACCACCTGACAGAAATCTCCAACCTTTCTCCACTGGCCGTCATTGACGATCGGTCCGCTGCTGGTGACCCTGCTAACCGTGCCGTACTTCAACTGCAGCTCTAGCTTTCCGTGGTGCATTGCCAGCACAATCCAGGAACTGTTTAGGTGACCTCCGGCAAAGAAGATCACCCCCTCAGAATCATAGGAGCGGAAGTCGAATTCAGCTGAAAAGCTAGCGGTGGCGACGAGGCGAGTGCATTTATGAATATGTGTGTTTTAATGAGCAAAGTAAGGTGGAAATATATGTGAAATGAAAGGGCAAAAGAAAAGAGAAGGGAGAGGAAGAGATGGCAGAAGAGAAAGGAAATTCCTTTTAGTGACCAAAGAAATTTTATATGGCACACACTTGGCACTCAAAGTGGGTGGTATTTTCACCCCTGCTAATATTACAAGTTAGTTTTTAGAATTAGCTGATACAACTTCACAAAGTGACTATTTATAGTACAAAACAAATACTTAAGTACTTGTAAGGACTTTAGGTACTTTAAAAAGTTCACTATTCATTACTGTGCTCATTCATAAATGAAAATAGTCGTCGCTACAGAATGACCAAGCTCAAACAGACAAATTAACAGTAATTTTCTCACCCAGTGTGAATTCTCCTTCGGAAACGCAGCCTCACCACTGGCACGCCGCTGAACATGCGCCCCAGGTAAAGAGAACGAGAGTTCCTCTTCAGAGACTCTGACATACAGGAAGTTATGGGCTGGAGGAGAAAACAGATGAACAACAACCTGGAGATGATGTATGTTGCCACCTCAATACAACCATATACTATAAGTCAGCTCGACTCGTACAACAGGGGTTCTGCAGGATTCAGCAAGTCCAACTTAAGACTCAAAGCTGCAATCAAATACAAAAACATTTTACTACCAACATTACTTGCCTATGCCAGACAGGCAAAAGTAAGACCTTTGCAATTAAGACTTCTTAATACTTTTTTAAAACTGTGTTTGAGAAAAGGAAATGCAATGCTGTTTTGAAAAGAAGCAGATATCCTGTCCAAAATGGTTAACAGATTAAGAATGTAGTCTATAGTATACATTTACATAAAAGATGTACCTGAAATCAGTAATGGCTGGTCAATATGCAACAGTTAGTGTATTTCACCTTACAGCTCCTGAGGTCCTGGCCCAGCTTCGTGCTCTGACGACCATCACAGAAGCAACGGAAACTGCCTGGCGTGTTCAGACATTCCTGTTCACACACATTTGCCTCACACTCATCCATATCTGATAAGTGACAGAGCAGGTTGAAGAAATTAAAGAGAAGGAGAGATGAAAGTGATGACTGGGGTATAAAGGGTTACAGAGAAGCAGTGGGTTCTTTAAGTTATCAAAGTCACATCAGCTGAGGGCTTAGTGAAAACATTCTCAAGACCAAAACAACATCAGTTCACCAGTTCAAATTTCTTTCCCGTCAACATATCAGGGAATGCAAACAACACTTGAGTCAGGTGGTCCTTGACACTGACTGGGTGGTATCTGCCCGATTCATGTATAACCTTACATGGACATGAGGAGTTTGGCTATAATAAATGTTAATTCTCTGAGGAGGGACATTGAGGTTATGAAAAGTCTGGAGTAAAACAGGGTACACAAGTGATTAGTGACTTGATTTAAGTCTGCAAATTCTTTTTTCATACTGTTACCAACAGACCTGATGCCATGGTTACTTTATCTTATTAAATCACAAGACGGCACTTTTTGGCCTCATCAGTGGAAACTTGTTCATTGTTTAAATCTGTCTGTCAAATTTATTTATATAACTTGGTATCTCAAATTTGCCACAAGTGACTTTAAAATGTGAGCAGGATACAATACCATCCCTCCTTGGATCCTTAAATCAGATAAGAAAAAATTCCCCAGAAAACCCTTTAATAGGAAAAATAATGGGAAGAAACCTAGGAAGGCAACAAAGGAGGGATCCCTCCATCTTGAAGCACAAAGCACAAACAGACATACAATAAATGTCATGTGTATGAAACGGGGCATATATCAGACACGCTGTGTAAAGGATGATCTGCTGTGCTGACCAACACTTCTGTAGCTCAGCCTGTAAACCTATGGCACGTCTTCTGTGTTTGTTAATTCTAACTATTGCATTTTATCTTTACCTCTCCTGTTTTGCTTTTAACTTTTTCTGTCCCGATCAAACTTAAAATCAAAAAGACCATCTATGACTACGTTCACACTGCAGGTCTTAATGCTCAGATCGGATTTTTTGCCAAAATCCGATTTTTTTGCGCTGTTGTTCACACTGTCATTTAAATGGGACTGCCATCTGTCTCATGTGGGAACGGTATACGGCCCTGAGGCGACCCACATGCGCAGAAGAGGACGTGACGTCAGACGCAGCGTACTGTGTTTGCGAAAATAAAAATGGATGCAGCTCGTGATAGCATGTGTTTAGCGATGTACCAGTTAATGTGCAAGAAGAAAAGAGAGCACAAATATTGCTTATGGCCTTTTGTGGAGCAGTGGCTGCTATCTCTGTACAGAGGAATGTGTGGGTGCGGAGCCAGGACTGGTGGGATTGGACTGGACCATCTGAATCACAGTTGTCTGCCATTGCGATTACCCCTCGGCTCCTCCAGCGCAGAATTGTGACGTCTGTCGCATTTCAATGACATAAAAATCGCATGAAATGCGACATGGCCGTTCAGACTGAAGTCGCATTGCAAAACATCGGATATGTATCCGATTTAGGACCACATATGAAAGTGACCTGTGCCGGATTTGAAAAAATCTGATTTGTGCTGTTCACAGTCATAAGGAAATCGGATATGGGTCACATCTGGGCAAAAAGATCAGATTTGGGCCACTTCAGCCTGCAGTGTGAACGTAGTCTAACATTATGTCCCCCTCCAAAATGTGGAATCACAGGCTCAGTCCGTGTATTTTACTCTGAAATTATTTGTTTCTGAAGGCATGACTGGACAACAATTGTGATCAGTCACCTACTTATACCAAATGTCTTTGTATTCCTTTCTTGACCTCACAACTCAGCTGCATCAGGTCCTCCTGAGGGTGAAGCTGTTCCTCTGTCAGTTCTTATTAAACCATGTGTCTTTTATTGTGTGTACATCCACTTACCTACACAGCTCTTTGATTCATTGTCGTAGACATAGCCAGTATCACACAAGCAGTCATAGCCGCCCTCCGTATTCTCACACCGTGCTGTTCCACACACATCAGGGTCCTCACACTCATCCACATCTGAAAAACAAAATGTGGTCAGCTTGATAGTTCAGAGTGTGGTGGAAATTCAACAATACCAAGAAGATCTGATTATCTGGAGCCTATTTGTACCTTTTCTCATTTGTGTCTTAAAAAAAAAAAAAAGTGCCAATCAAAACACACCAGATAGCTGAACTGTATTCATTTGATGAGTTTTAAATTCTGGTTATAACTGGGTAACCACTAGAATCCATTATGCAATTTATTACACTTATCCTAAAGCAGCTTTAAAGGCAGCTCAACAGATTGAGTTTTCCCAAACTCTTTTTCTGTATCAAATATACAACGCATAGTGTGTTTGTTCCAGCACTTCAACTGAAACTACATCAAGCTTAACACTGAAAAATATTTACACTGAACACACCATTTGAGAGGATTTACCATAAAAATCATGTGTTAATTCCAAGATGTCTCCCTGATATCTTTGTGCACATTTCTTTGATCAATGTTCATATTTTGAAAGGGCTTCAAAGTTATTATGATGCAGACTTGGTCGAACAAAGATTTTCTAAATCTATGGTTTATGTCTTACCATTACACGAGCGGCGATCTACCAACATGTAGCCTTGGTGACAGGAGCAGCGGTAACTGCCCATAGTGTTGTTGCACACATGGTCACACCCTCCATTTCCTTTGCTGCACTCGTCGACATCTGCAAAAAGGATGACAGAACGGTCAGTGTGAATGCAGCGAAGCCGTCACCATAGACTGTGTACAGCAACGGGTTGTTAGGCTTGTGTGAAGATTTCCCATAGTAAAGCAGGTTCAGGTTATAGTTAAGGTAACCAATTTTGAAAGTTACATTTAGCAATTCTGAATAGGAGCACGCAGAGTGAATTGTCAGGACAATACAGTTTAAAAAGCTCACTGAAATATCCTATGAATCTGTATTTCATTAAGTGCCTTACAAACTACTGACACACTGTGTCATTGTGGCTGACTGTTGCAGCTCAGTGTTTAGGTGGAGTGTGGTTGTCAAGTGGAAAAGGCTCAGACAAAGTCAAACTGAATCTGTTTTGCTTTCCTCTCTCAAAAAGGTGGCAGGATGAGTCACAGTGGAAATGTGTGGAATGGTGGCTGTGCCTTAAATCGGAGAAACGTTTCTCTGTCGCTCACAGCATGTGTATAAACAATGTTTTCTAGTTCTGCTTGTACAATAAACATTTGTTACATTTTCCTTCTAAAAGTGGAATACTTATCCTTTCAGATTTTTCCCAGAAGATGCAAGCCTCCCCTCATATCTATATACAGTAACTGGCTTTGACCTCTAAAAACACGTGGATTCCTGTTGTGGACTGTGTGACCACAGTTCCCGAACACAGAGTTCATACTGACCTGATGTCTCATTCACACATCATTAATAGCAACAGCAGCAGTTTGATATTAAAGATACAAATCAAACAATAACAGTTACAACTGTAAAATAAAAGTGAAAGAGGAACACTGGAAACTGACTTTTGCAATGTCAAATTAATTCCAGCACAATTTGGATATACATTTATGAAAAACAATGACATTATTTAACACATATCATGTATTTGAAAGCCAGATCTTTCCATTAGTGGGTGACAGAGGAGTTGGCTGTCAGAAGCAAGGTCACAGTGAAGACATTTATCCAGAGACACTGAAGCTGAATGACAGTGCAGAAATTCTACCTCTGCTGAACTCTAGCACGCGTGTACAACTTTTTCCATTCTCTCTCACCATCCATACTGTTGAGAGTACCTTTCTCGCATCTTACTCCTGCCCAGCCTGTAAAACAGTGACAGAGGAAGTTGGCCTTTTTGTCTTCACAGCGCACCGTACCGGTGGGACTACAGGGAGAGGAAGAGCACTGGTCTGGAATATCTTCAAGTGTGAGAAAAACAAAGACAGGCACAGAGAAGGGAGTGTTATTATTATTTTAAAAATGAATCTGTACAAACCGGATACATTCAGTGACTATAACTGTTTAGTAATAAAAGTCATAGGAAGGGCATCTCCTATGTTCTGCATATCAGGATTTCAATATAAATAGCCTAATGCTGGCTAAGCTCTTCTGACCGAGATGCACTAGCTCAGTGCTTCCCAGCATAACTGTCCTCTAACTCATGAGAAACAAGATCAAACTGATATTGCACTGTCTGTTCATTTCTGTCCAGCTTTTCAACCAAACATTTTCACTTGACCCATCTTGCTCAATTCAAGCTTGTGTAAAAGGGGCACAAGTAAATCTGTTCTCTCTCTGTACAGTTTCGTTTTTCTAGAAGTGAAGTTTGAGTGCAGAACAAGTCTGGGCATGTCAGCTGGAGTTCAGAGAGAGAAAGGGACAGTGCCTGGAGAGACAAACATCAAATTGCATGACTTCCACTGAAGGAATGATCCCACTAATTCACCACTTTTGAACAACTGACTGTAAAGCACTAACAAAACATTCAAGTTGCATCATCAGGCTCATTTTCATTAAGAGTTAATATGTACGACTTATCTTACTGCATTGGGCAATAATTACCTTAAATAAGCCTGGAAAACCACACTCTTTAGAGGATGATTATTATTAATTTTATTAAAGTGCATATGTTGTTGTTTCTATTTAAAGGGTCAATCATTGGCCAGTTTTTAAATTCAAAATATTCATTTAACATGTTTGCACATTTGTAAAAGCATCTGCCATGATCACATGTACTTTTCTGTATACAAATATTTAGATAACACTTTTACAAGCAGGACTAGAAAAATCCACCTGCTTCACTAAATGAGGGTAAAATGTATGAAACAGTTACATTTTGTTAGCATTCATATCCTTCAGGACCAATAAAAATGAATCAAAACAGCTTTTAGCAACAAGCAGCTGGAGTGAAATGGAAAACATCTGTATCAATATCAGTGCATACTTGCTGATACAGCATCCATATTCCCCACCCAAAGCGTACAGTCTCTTAACAATCTAGCCACATCAGCCCAGGCTGGTTAGTGAATTATTAGCAAGCAGGGGTAACCACAGGAGTGTGTGCTGTTTCCTCCCACTTAAAATTTTAGAGCTCCCTTGACAGCACAACAGAACTTAGTTTAATTTAATAAAGCATACACTGCAGACTACCACAATGACCTTTTGAATAAGCCCTGCAAAGTTTACTGAGCATGTCACATATAGTAATTGCTAAAGAATGGGAAAATGCATTTTTAATTATTCCATTTTTCAACAGAACAGTAACCAAAACACTTGTGTCTGCAAGCAGACTAAAAAAACAGAAGCTAGGAGAAGTAGGAGAATAAATGTGGTTTGCTGTTATTTAATATGAAATCAGCTTCTGTTATGTGCAAATGTGAAGTCAGAGCACTGATACTCGTATACCACCCACCATGGAACTGCCCTGAAACAGGAGACAGATGGAGAGAGAGAGAGATGTGGTGAGAAAGATGATGTGCTGACAGAACCGGCATATCTTTAAGTGCCACGATGCTGCAGCTGAGTCATGGGAACCCTTCAGCCAATAGCAGCAAAGCCGGGTTGGTCCAGGTCTCTTCTATCCTGATGCAGCAAGAATTCTGTGCTCCATTCACGTCAGACTTTTTTCACATCACTCCTTCATAGAGCCAGTTCACACAGAAGCTGGTGCAGTCACACACAGCGTATGTGACGAATGAAGGGGTGTGTCAGTCATTCACCAATGTGCAGCATCACTCTAGCAAGTGCTGCATTGTTACTCATACATAGCATATATACATTACAGCACACTTCAAAGTTGCAGCATCAGTTACTGTAGGTGTGTCACGCTGCAAAAACTTGCATGGAGTGGCCAAAGAAATGCTTCACCTTTTCTTCCTTTTCCCTCTGTACTTTCAGAGACTGTACGCATGAGTGTGAGCATGATGCAGGGCAGTGATACTGCAGTGCAGCTCAACCACACACTTATAGGTGCATTACTCTGGATGTAGTAATATTTGCACAGTGAAAAGAAAGACAGAAGGAAAGAATAAGAAAGGCACAGTCTGTAAAAATATGAGAAAGGGAGGTTCAGGTCTGTCCACAGTCCTACCATCAAGCATGAAGGTGACAGATCAGTGAGAGGGGATCAAACTTACTGTGGACACACGTGACCAGATCCTGTTTCTTCTTTTCTGAATCTCCAAACTTGTCCACACAGGCTAGACACAAACGAAGCCAATATTCAAATGAAGCAATCACAAACATATAACCAGAAAAGCTGGCTGTATGACTAGAGAAGAATGGTGGTAGTCAGAATGATAACTTACCTAAATACTTGGGATAGAAGTAGTCCTAAGGCAAGAAGAGGAGAGAGAGATAAGGTTATGTAGGTGTAACAAAAAATGTAAACAGAGCAAGATAACCTAAACAAAGGCTTCCAATTAATGAGTGTGTGTGTGTTTGGGGGGTGGGGGGTGTCAATTCCAGATAGAGATTTCAGTATGATTACTCTGTAATCTGTGTGCAAGCTAATGGGTGCGGCCCTTTGCCAGGGGCTTCCTGAGAATTCTCTGCATTCCCGATAGTAGTAGCATACCTCCCACCTCCTGTCTACAGTATTTCTGCACATGTAGGACAAAATTTGGAGAAATGTGCCAATGAAAACACTGGCAGAGACATTACCGATCTTCTGCTGCTGCAGTCGGAGCCAGAGGCAGCAACCTGAGGGGAAAGAAGTGGCTTGTGCAAAATAGTACTCAAGACAAAAGTTTGCTAAAGCCAGGGATACAATACACAACATTGTAACCCTGCTTTGATACAATTATGGATTTATGGAGGTGAGAGGCATTCAGATAAGTCAGAGCAAATTTTAGTCTATTACTAAACTTGTGCTTGGTATAATACTCAGCTGTGACACCTTGTTATTTATTTCATCTGTCCCCTCTTGAAAAGTCACCTAACTGATGAGAGACCAAAAAACTTGTAGTGAGATTTTGTTGCAAAGAGTAATCATGAGCATCAGGAACACCCCAGTCTCCCTCTCTCTGCAGAGCCAGAAAGCTGCAGCAGAAGAAAATGCAGAGTCAGAGACAGGCCCTCTCAGAATGAATAGTGCAGCTATGAATGACACTGCAGCTTTGAGTCACAATATGGGAGAAAACTACAGGTACACTATTCTGCAGGTGATGTGCGTCCAGCTGATCCAAACTCAACCAGAGGACACGTCTCTTGGCTTCAGTCTGAACCCAGCTGGACTTTGCTTTAATCCCCCACCCTATTATGACAGGACACAGTTGTTGGATGTATTTGCTGATAACTTCTGAAGGCTTACATTTTAATGGATTTAACAGACTTGGCCAGGCGTCTGCAATATAAATGACCCACACGATAACTTATCTTACAGACTAACACACAACACAGACACATGCAACACACTGCAGACAAGCATCTGTTAAAAGACTTAAAAGTCTGCATTCTCAGCCAATGAACAAATACACTTCTTAAACCAAAAGCACTTGTTCCACAGTTTCTGACACAAAAGGCTATTTATATCACCGTAGTTTGAGTATTGAGGACAATTTTTCATAATCAACAGAAAATCAACATTCACGTGGATTGAATGGTTGATTTTTCTCATTCACTAATGCAGAATAATCTGTAGTAAGTATTCCTGAGTGCACACACTCTGATGGATTTAGTCGGTAAATGTCAAAAAGAGGGTGATTAGTGAGGCAAGGTGTTGAATGAAAGTCATTTACAGAAAACAGCTAGTGAGCTCTCAGAGAGACTAATCTGAATCTGAGAAGCTAGTCTGCATCATTCACATTTGTGTGTAAGGATGTGTAAGAGTAGGCATATGTAGCTATACAGCAACACAAATGGTGAAAAGATACTCAGGTGTTTCCCACATTTGCCGGGAACCTAACTATGCCAAGCAGCGTTTACGGTATACATATAAAGTGCGAAAGGTGAAGGGATATATTGTATAGTGTGTTGTCTTCACTTAAACCCTATTTCATGAATGAAAGGCTTAGTCACGATGACTCAATGTCTGTCACAGAAACAAACAAAAAGAGAAGAAAACACACCAAGTCCTTGATATGAGACTGTTCTGTGCATTATCAGCATTCTGGATGAACATACTGCAGCATGAACACCAGCAACACACACAATGAATCATTAGTCACATTACAGTCATCAATTTATCATCAATATGAACATGATGCGAACAACCACCCTGCAGCCTTGTGCTAAATGACGAAGTGCTAAAAGGTGCAAGCCTGATAACGGTGTTTTGATTCGCTTATAACAAACTTGGCTGAATTTTTGGTACTGCAGTGATTGTGTCTCAGGGGAGCAGAGGAACCTGCATGCAGCCCTGACTGAAAAATACAACATTTAGAGTCTTTTTTGTCCTGTAACTATGCTGCTGATAATGTATAGTTACTAACCGTCTCTGGGTCGTTTTCAAACACTTCTCTGGCTTCCTCTTTGGTGCACCTTTCCTCCACACATTCCCTTTCCAAGTGTCCTTGCTTCGTCTCCTCGAAAACTTGATATGCTCTCCTGTGTCTGCTCAGAAACCGATTCGCCTCTTCAGAAGACAAGGAAACTTAAAAAAGAAGAGACAACTAGGTTAATTCACCCACACAAACAAGAAAAGGTTCAACAACTCTGGCAATGAGCAATATTTTGATTCCCATAAACGAAAGTACTTATGATGAAAAGATTGCGAAACACCATCCGTTAATAACTGGGGCATGTATTATCATTTGCCACAACACAAATGTCAATGGGGACTTAGCGAGCTAGCTAGCCGCCTAGCATGTAATTGTTTACTTACTGCTGTCGGACCAGCGGACCACCAGCAGGATTAGCAGGGCTGCCGATAAAAGAGATTTTGTTGGGGTCAGCCGCATTGTTTAACCGCTGTGTCTGCGCCAAGCTCCAGAAACTTTCTCCTGCCCCGTGTTGTAGTGTCTCTGTCCCCCCCTGTGCCTCAATGTCACCGCTGTCTGCACCGAGCCGAGGCTAACGTTAACTTGCTGCGAAACACTGCAGGTATTCAGGTGGTTCCGACCATGAACGTTTTTAATGTTATTAAAAATCACTGTCGCAGCGGAGCGTTGCAACCTACACTGTCGTGTTTCTCCTGCATATTGTTCACAACGCGAATTAAGCGAGCGTCCTGTTTTCTCCGGGGTTCACCTCGTACCCATTGCGGACTCTACTTTATTTTCTGACACTGTTCTCTGGTGTTGAGACCTCTCTGGCTGGATTGAGTCCCCAGTCTGCGGAGAAACTATGCTGCGTGCTTCAGCAGGGGCAGTAGCTCTGAAACACGAAGGCAGGAGTTTGTAATGATGTAGACACCTCTCACCATGGCCGGCTTAACTTGGTGAGGAGCCCAGGGCAAGACATTTGTTGTTGGGCCCCCACTGTTAACGACAGGTTCACTACTGCACTAGTGTTGAAATTATTAAACAGTCAATTGGTAGAAAATTATCTGACAGTTTGATCATTGATTAGCCTAACTGAGTCTTTTTTTTTAAATGCCAAAAACACTCACTAGTTCTTTGGGGTTTTAACTATTGATCAGACAAAGCATACAAATTTGAATATGTGAGCTTAAACTTCAGGGAACAATTACAGGCATTATTCCCCATTTCCTTACTCTTAAATGTGCAGCTTGTAAGATCTAGAAGGAATTATCCTATCATTGAGGCTGACATGTTGAGCTGCCATGTTTTTTTACAGCAGCCTAAAATGGACAAACCACACACTAGTATGAAATTTTAAACTGTTCAAACATATTGTTCCTGAAAGGTTGCAGCATTGTAAGTGCTTCTGCACATTGTCATTTTAAATATGGACCCAACGTCTGCAACCGATTGATGAACAGCATTTTCACGCAAGGTTATAACAAAGAAATCAGTATTGGGGAGATATAAAAAAAAATCATGTGATGATGAAAAACATTTACCAATATGAATAGTTTGAGATAAAATTAAATGGCAATATTATTTTCACAGCCTAGTTTAAAACAAAAAGTTGGCAGAACAGAGCATGACAGTGCAGTACCATCTGTCCCAAGAGAAATCTGTGAAGAAAGTATGAATCACTTTAAGTTGAAGGGAAACAGACCTGGGTCAAACAGTGTCTTATAAATAACAGCGGTGTGAGTTTGTTGTGTCACAGAGGAGCTAGGACACAAGCAGTGCTGGAAAGATGGCCACAGAAAATAATCAGGAAGTGTGTTTGGTATTGTGTTGAAGATACATCTGACATTTAATGAACTATCAGTACTTTGCCTCATGACATTCTGATCAACCACGGACTGTCGATTCATACGTTGTTTGATGTGAGCATTATCATCACTGCATTTAAAACCATGACATGTACAATAGTTGCCAGAAACTCATTTAAGTACAGTCCCGTTACTATACACATTGTTCTCTGAGAAGACATTTTTCCTGCAGTCTTACTGAAAAAATTGAATATTGAAGAAGTATCAAAATATGGTTGCTCTGATAAAGTTTTATTAAAGCAAACACAAACAATGAACAACTACATTTAAGTTATATATTAAGGGTGGTCTGCTTAAAATGCACAAGGTGAATTTTGAACACAGGAGAACCCTGAAGATGGGATAAAAACAGAAGGAAAGAAATTGTAGATAGTCTTTAAAGGCCAGGCATAATGAGTGATGCACACATAAAATGATAACCATGCTTCTAAATGCTACTAAACTAATGCAGCATCTCATGAAGGCAGAACTCCAATAAGGGGTGGTGATTCATTTGGGAAAATGCAACAGAACTGGATCAAGTGGCTCGGTTTTCTCCTCTCTCAACCAACCGCCACACTTTTAGCTGTCTCCTGACATCAACCTCCACACAGTTACAGTTGAAGAGAATTAAGAGATAGCACCATGATTGAACAGCAGGAGCAGGTGGTCTCACAGACTGATCAACAGTGACAGTTTGTCTATTTTTTACATAAACACAGTGGGTGTGCTATAGAGCTCAGCTCTTTTTTTAAGTTTCTTGGAAAGCACTGAATTCATTGCAACAAACTGGAACAACTACGTCATCAAATCATCCAGTTTCCGATTAGCTCACTGGCAAACCAGCACAAAAAACTGAGCAAAATGCTCTCATGACAGGAACAGTGGTACATATGGATAAAAAGAACAAGACAAAGTTTAAAATAACACATCAGAGAAAGTCGACAAAAATGACTATAACTGTTTACCTCCTCTTCATGTCTTTCTCATCCTCTTCCTGCCTCCCTCCTCTCCTCTACGTAGCTCTATCCAAAGTATCTGAAGAATTGGCCACTGTGGGGTGCTGCTTAAAATGAGCCAATTTTTCATACTAAGGTCACTTTCTGTACAGTTGCGATTCATCTCAGTGGCTTTCAGATTAAGGGGAGTAAGGAGGACAGGAATGGGAGTTAATACTGTTATGTTTGCTGAACGCATCATCAAAGTCCAGCTGCTGACTGTTGATAGTGATGTCCATGCAGCCGTGGTAAAAGGCCGTCACAGGTGTGGCAGAAAGCGGGACATCATCTTGGGAGAGAAATTGGGACAGACAATGACAAGAGATCTTTTTAAAACTACAGTAGTAACATGTTACACAATAACATTTGAAATAATAATATAAGCAACAAAAATAACATATAGGTACATGATGAGGTCTGAGTGCAAAATTAGACTTCAAGACAGGTCTAAAGTTTGAGCACACAGACAGCAAATGTTCATTCCCCTTTTGATTTTTACTCTCATGAGAACACAGAGGAACCTTTAATGAGATATAGTGAGAAATATGCTGGTATAGCAGAATAACAATTCAATTTACAGGGGTTTTAACTTGGTCTTCCCTGAATTCTGAAGCTCCCAGGAAGCAAGTGAGGAGAGGGGACGACTGCAATGATGTGGTTTACATTTAGTCAGCACATGGAGATGAGCCAAAACTATTACTGAAGTACAGTAATACAATTTAACAATGTAAACTCAGATGTTCCAGCCTACACCAGGACAGACTGACTGTACTGATTTCTTTTGTTTAGCCATACATTTAACAACAAAACCATGAGTTCTGTTTGGTCAGTGAGTGGAAAAATAACTTCTCAGTAAGTACATTTTTATCGGGACTACAATGTTGCACCTTTGCAGACAGAAATAGCTCAACAACTACTGGATGGATTGCTGTGAAATTTTGTGCAAATATTCATGGTTCTCAGCAAGCTGAGTGGTGAGTCCATGACTTTCCACAAACACCATCACTGTTTACCACCACACTTTACATTCAGTGAATGTAAATTGAAGTGAACTGAAGTGAAATTTGGTACAGATATTCATGTGCACCACAGGATAAATTACAACCAATTTGGCAATTCCTTAACTTTTAATCTAGTGCCATCACCTGGTCAAAGATGTAAATTGTCCAATATACTGAAAAATTAAAGACATTCCTATCAGAATCTGTTGTATTTTTGTGTGCAGTGCTAACTGGCAAATGTTAGCATGCTAAATTAAAATATGGCAGCATGTTAACCATAGCATTTAGATATAGCCAGTATGGCTGTAGAGTGTTATGGAGAACACCTACTGGATGCGAACAATTTGGGCAACATTGCCTCCACCACTTCTTGCTTGTTGTGGCAGGTGTGCGAATTTATGTGACCTGTGTTATATTGTGCCAAGCAGTGCTCCATTTCTGTTTATATCCATAATCCCTTACAGACAGTAACCACTGAATTGTCCTAATTTGCATAAAGTTAAAAATGAATGAAATTAAATCCCATCATATGAAGTGACTCACTCTTATGGCCCACAGTGAATGAATGAGGATGAGCTTAGCATCACGTTGCTCTGCCGTCAGAAAGTCTTTTGTGTTGTGATGCTTTCAGAGACTACCATCTCCATTGTTTAATCTGTGCAATGAGCATATAACAGATGGCCAGCAGCAGCCTGTGTTGGATGGGATCAGAGGCAGCCAGGAGCCACCTCAGCACTGTACACAAAGCACAGTGATGTTGGCAGGCAGCCGCCTGAGCAGCAACCGCTCACTGTCTGAGAGCAACATTAGTCTTCTTTGTGTACTGGTGGTTTTGAAACTCTTTAATAAACCAGTTAACCCACTTTCACTTCTGTTAATTAAGTAGAGATCAGCCTACAATTTTGCTCTTACAGCACAATCAGGAGGATATTCCATGTAGGTTCGCTTTAAAACATTTCTAGCATGACTTTTGCATTTTTGCATTGCATGATAGCATTACTTTAGTTCTCAGTTACTTGTACTTAGTGCTTTCACTAACCTGGTATCCCACCAATAAATGTACTGACAGAGTTCTGCATGGTGGTGTTGAGGCGCTCTAGTGCCTTCTGCAGGGCATCAGACTTAATGTAGGTAACAGTAGAGGTGTTGGCTGAGATCTGGATTTCTGTGGGAGTCACATTCAGGTGCAATGTCAGCCGCTCGGGGTAACACAACATCAGCGAGTCTACCCTTGCCACAGAGATGCCATGCAGGAACACTTGCAGGTTCTGGACCATGGAGAGCAATGACATCACAATGTTTAATCAAATGTGTTTGTGCTTCTATATGCATGAAGACATGCAGAGAAACATTTGTGCTTATTGTGAACAAAAGTGTGAATTAACTCACAGCATCTTCTTCTCCCTTTGTTACCACAGCGACCAACAAGGGGACTGTGTTGTTGTAGACAAGAGCAAAGAGGACACCTGTGCTGGTGGACGGGCGCATACTCATCCTTATATCCACATTCCAGCTACCATTATCACCTAGTTACACCCACATCCATACAAACAGGGACAAATACATTTCTTTTGTCAGCTTGGAAATGTAAGAACTTTGGCCATTTCTAAATAGTTTTTTGATAAAGCTCCCCGTCTTTAAACCAAGGCATTATGCCTTAGAGTACATTTGGTCCTGCAGCACTGTGCTGCTGCTAAGTGCTCTTAAGCAGGTTGGATCGAATGCTGGGGTCAAACTTTCCCACAGGATTTAATAAAGCTAATATTAATAATAACTTAACTTACTCACTGTAGTCAATGTTGAAGTGTGCCAGTCCTGCCCCAGTGAAGAAAGATCCTCGTTCCACATGCACAAAGCAATGCTTACTCTTCTTCTCCTGGATGACCTCTTTTACCCCAGATGCTCCCTGGTTCATCAAGTTCCAGCCCCGCATGCAGCCGTCAAGTCGAGGGTTGATCTGACAGACGAATGCAAACGCACGGAGCACAGCAATAAGATGGTCTTTAGCACAGTATCTTAGTCTATCAATACAAATTCCTATTTATGTCACCTCTGTGTTGATAAGCGAAAAGAATCCATCACGTTTGCTGGGTGATTTTGTTGTGTGTGCACGCCGTCACATGACCAGCTTACAGGTTTGATGAGGTTGTCAGTGCGGTTGGGCAGACCAGCGATGTACACCTTGGTCTCCAGTTTGCCATCAACTGAAGCAAAGAGACTCTCAGGGCTGTTGATGCTCATCACAGCTTCCTTGCTGATCTTCAAACTAATGCTGTTCTCCAGTTCATCCACAGAGATCTGCATGTTACAAAAAACACTAACTTAACTTTTACTACTCCAACACTCTCAGCACAGTTAAGCACATGGTTACCGCAACACAATGCACTTTCCTTCATTTGAGTGTATCAATTAATTTTTCAGCAACAACTGTGTTAGCCAGGAACAAGTTGATCGTATGTAGCCAGTTACTGGTTTACACCTCTTACCACATGCCACTGTCCATCATTGATGGCTTTTCCTCCAGTGGTGAGCTTGAATGTGTGCTGGTTTTTGAACTGTATTTCAAGGCGACCACCTCTTAGCCCCAACATGAACCACGAGTCCGGAGAGGACTCGGCATACAGAACAACTCCCTCTGGGTCAAACGTACGAAAGTCAAACTCTGCTGCAAACCTAACAATGACAGGAGACAAATATGAGTTTACATAGTAATGTTTAAATTTAACTGCATAGTCCATATAAATGTTTTTACTTGTTTTAACCCAATCGCTAAAAATCATGTACAATTCACACAAAATTAATCAACTATTCCACTTTGTCAATTTTTCCCATTCAGAGATTCATTTCCATCTATGTCACTATGGTATGAAAACCAACTTTTAGAGGCTTAAACTAGCATGGGATACACACACAACATACACAACATTTTGATGAACCTTTAGGAAAAGTACAGTGCAGTGAGTGTGTGTGTGATAGACACTTTGTGTTCTCCGGCAGTCGAAAACGCAGGTAGATGACAGGTAGGCCTGCAAACTGCTCCCCCAGGTAAAGCATCTCAGAGTGTTTGTGATCATACAGGTCCACACAAACAGGGATTGTTTCACAGTATCGTCCATTCTCTGCCAAACGAAGACCCCGACGCCCATCACAGTGGCACGTGTAGCTGGCCACTGTGTTTATACAAGTGCCGTCGCACACATTCAACTGACACTCGTCCACATCTGCAACAACAGAAACATAACATTTGCAGTGGCGTTTGGTTAAACGCTTACTTGAAGGTGTGATTGCAGTAGGCATGATATGAGTGTATTCTAACGTACAAGAATCTAGTTTAAAATAGTCAGTTTTGTCACCTCTCAAACTCTTCATGGTAAAACAGGAACAATAAACTGAAGTCTTACCATTGCAGGTCTTGGAAATGAAATTATATTTAAGTCCTGGGGGGCAATTGCACTCGTACATGCCCAGCGTGTTAACACATTTAGCTGGTTTTTCACAGATACTGGGATACAATAGGCATTCATCAATATCTGGAAAACAGTAAAATGAAAATGTCAGTGGGAAAATGGTCTTGTGAATATTTGTGTCAAGAACTGTTTAAATCCTCATTAGAAAAATGGCAAATAAACTATTTGGCACATTGATGAAATTAATAAATATGAGGGAAATTACAATAACTACAACCTCTTATTTGTACCTTTTTTTCACAATTTCGCACCACAGATTTTCATACTGATGCCCTACCTTTCATGCAGTCTTACACACCTGCATTTTTTCTGTAAAACATACATATCGTTCTGCCGATAGTGCAGTGCAGCTGCAAGCAGAGACCATTTGAAAAACTCTCCCTCTGTGGTGCTTTCAAGGAAAGAGTCGGCTACTGAAAATCAAAGCTTTTGTAACATAAACCTATCACAACTCCACTGTGTAAAGAATATGGTTTAGCTTTATCTGGAGACTCTCAACTCGTATCAATCTCTTTGAATATAATACATAAACAAGTTGTTGATGGGCAGAAGATAAACAGTATGTTTGATAATTAATAGTTTAACAGTGACTGCTCACATTTATGGCATGCTTTGGAAAGAGTCAACATAAAATATTAAACATTAATGTTCAATTAGGTGTTTGTATTGCCTGCCAGGTGCACAACCATCTGTATGTCATTGTAAATCTCCACAGCCATAAAAATAAATGCAAATTTACCAAACAAACTCAGTCCATGTTTGTGAAGACTTTGTACTCAATGAGCATTCAACACACTCAAAGATAAACACTGACTGAACTGCCCACACAAAACAGGACAGATATAAATATGCAGAAATGAGCCAACAAGCATAAAAACACCAAGCAGGTTCCAATAGATCAGATATATGTGACTCTTGGTCTGTTTACACCAAAAAAAGCCAAACCATCTTTTCAGATGTTAAAAGCTTTTCACGTTATGTTGCATAAGAGGTCACCTCAGGTCAGCTTGAGAAATAACAAATGTGCCACCCCTGAGGACAACAGCTGGGACAAGAGAGATTTAGTTATGAAGTGTGTAAGGCTCTGCTGTCCATATGAATAAATAAAAAGGAAATCATCAGAAAGAATAATACACCATGCAGATACATCTGTGTTTGCTCAGCTGCATAGTAGCTCTACATGCTCCTCCTCCATACAGAAAGCAAAACAGCTGTGTATCATGACATAAGCCATTAGTACATAGGCAGAAGGTATATTAAACAATTTCTTTCTGAACTTTTGTGTATTTGAAATAAATTACAATGTAAATGATTTATGAATTAATTGCAGTTTAGCTGCACAAATTGCAGATGAAATGAATGAAGTCTTACCTATGCAGTTGATTTTGTCTTTGAGCATGTAGCCATCTTCACACATGCAGTAGAAACTCCCCGGGACATTGTAACATTTTTGGTTGCATCCCGCTGGAAACTCAGGATCTGAGCACTCGTTAATGTCTGCCCAGTCAACACATTGCACAACAAATATTGATATTTAACCTGAAAGCAAACAGTTAAAGTCTCAAATGATGCAGCAGGACTCACCATTCGCACAGCGTGACCCCTTCCAGCCAGGCTTGCACACACATGTGTAGGAGGCTTGGCCATCCACGCATCTCTCTGAACCCTCCTCATAGCATGGAAACGGTGTGCACTGGTTACTGATCTCTGTTGAAAGCATTTAACAGCTGAAACTAACCTCAATTCGCTGACAGAAAAGTGCAAACACTGTCCCCTGAAAAGTCTAGGTAAGGCCCTTCACCGTTCACACAGGTGCGAAGGTCCGATGGGATAGCAGAATCCTGGTTGTTGATGCCAACACGGTAAGTACCCAGACACACTGTAACAAAAAGTGTTCTTGATCTGAATAAGGTAATAAACACACAACTAAAATGATACGACACCATATCAAGAAACAATAAATTTGACACACTTACGAACATATTTGGGGTAGAAGTATTCCTGTATAAACACACAAGTCAGCAAATCAAGATTGAATGAAGATTTTAAAATTCCAATATGACAATAATGACAGGAAGACAAAGAAAGGAGAGAGCGGGCAGCGAGTGAGATTACAGCCAGCTGTGCTCTGCATCAGAGCACGGTTCCGAATCAGAACTTCAGTAAATGTAAAGTAAATGTTTCAAAATGTTACACAAAGAAATTGATTTAATATTCATATTTGCTTGTTTTCATAACCCCATATTTTAGTAAATGGAATATACAGTGGGGCAAATAAGTATTTGATACACTGCCGATTTTTCAGGTTTTCCCACTTACAGAGAATGGACAGATCTGTCATTTTCAGCGTAGGTACACCTCAACTGTGATAGACAGAATCTACTAAAAAAAGATCCAGAAAAGCACATTGTTAGATTTT